GTTAAATGCATCACTGACAACTTTGATCGCAAAAGTACATTTACTCAATTAGCTGAGGGCTTTTATCCAAGCAACTTACAACTGCTATATATGTCAGAGGTTGTATGCCTCTGGAGCAACTAGAGGTTAAGTGTCTTGCTCAGGGACCCAGTGGTGAACGTTTGATTGCATAGGACTATACAAGGCTTCCTGTTTCTTCCTGTTTTGACGGAGACGTTCTGTAAAAGTTGTGTCTCTAAATGTATTGTTAGACTACTACTTGTAAAAAGAAGCCCTTGATTACTTAAATTAAAACATATTTAACAGCAAATATATTTAATTATATTGTTTGTAGTCTAATTTGTTTGCTAATTTAAAAAAAAAACATGTAGGTCATGGGTGAGATACTTGCAATGGCATATTAGGGCCACTCTAGCAAAAAAATTTATAAATAAATAAATAATTACTGAGCCAGGAGAGAGGGGTAGTATTCTGAGGGAGATTAAAGTAACTAAGAAATGACTGTTTTTCAGATGCTTGCGTTATTTAAGGCTCTGTACTCTATTAAGCCGGTTATGAAGATGTTAAAAACAATAGCTGTCACAAATAAGTTACTTTCACCAGCCAGCATTATGAAAGACTTCCTTCTGTTCAAAGACCCAAAGCATACAATTTGAGGAAGAACTGCAGATGACTAATCTGTGACACACTTTCTTGCTTTGTTGCACTCACTCCACTTCTTCTCTTATGTCTGCACAGATACTTGGCTTGTATTATTAATGATTTGAAAAAGAAAAAATCTAAGTTTTTCTTTTATATTACTCTAATAACAATAATAATAATATTACTCCTCTATCCCGGCTCAGGAATTTATTTTAGTAAAGGCCCTAATATGCTGTCGTAGATACCATCTTTGTCAAATTTTGAAACAATCAAAATACATCAGCTTGCAATGACCCAGTGACATTTAGGTTGACAAGATCTTGTTGTGTCCTAAAAAGGCTGTGACACATATTTTAATGGAAAAGAAAGGCCTATAGTAGGGGTGTGGAAAATAATAGATTTTTAGATTAAATCAATCCGCAACTATGGTTAACGACTTTCACCCGCACACTGTGCAGCACGGTTAGGTAGCGTCCTCTCCCCATTCTTCATAGGACAGAGGAGCAGAGGAAAACATGAGTGCTAGGTTTCAGTCTGTCAGTACAGTGCAGGTCACAGTGTGTCCGTTAATTCAAATCTGTCTGTTGCTTTCCAACTACTGGAAAAGTGAAGGCAGTCAGCGCTAGCTAACATCTCCTCTTCAGACTGTGTTCTGGAAGCTGAGCAGGACGTTGTTTAGCTGCTAGTTCAAGTTTGTTTATTGTCATTCATCCACATATCGAGTACACAAATGAACGAAATGCCGTTTCTCAAGGCCCATGGTGCTCAATACAAGATTACAATATTCAACCTACAAGACAGGACACAAACATGTAACTACACGACAAGACAAGAAAAAAGAACAGATTTATATGAAGTAACATTAAATATCTGCATTTTATTTCTACCTACTTGTTTGGATTATTAGAAATACTTTACTACCAAGTAGTCATACGGTGAGAAAAATACATCTTTATCCTGTCCGTTTTACAAATCGCATTGTAGCACTCATAATCGTAATGGGGTGTCTAAAAATTCCCACCCTTGAGGTGATGCATCGTGATGCGTCGATATATCGAACTGAATCGAACTGTTGACCTGATAATCGTAATCGAATCGAATCGTGAGACCAGTGAAGATGCACACCTCTCGACTACAGGCTATCATAACGGAGGTTAAGGCTGTGATTAGAAATTATTCAGAGAATTTTGTCTCTGCTCTTGACATTAATTTAAGGGAGAAAGTGAATTCCTTCACAATCTTTAAACGTAACAGCTTTTGGGGAAATCACACTCTTTCCATAGCCGTGGGATCCGGCTGAAATTATCGATTATTTTCATTCTCGAGGAATCTCATTATTTTCTCACTTAATCGTGTAGTTGTTTGGTATTTGAAATAACATACATTAATCAAGAACAAACATTATTATTTCCCCAAAACCAAAGTGATGTCTTCTTCAAATAGCTTTTTTATTGACCTGCTAATTGATTAATCTACTAACTGCTGCAGTTGTACAAAGAACATTAGCCTACATCATCAATCCTGCAGTTATCTCTTACTCAGCAACTGGCTTTTTCCACAATTGTGCAGCTGTCTAAATCCTACCTGAACGTGACATATTATAGCCGCTATGCCTAAAGGTTAATATGTAAAATATATGTCAGTCAATTCATTCAAGTTTGTTTTAACTTGAACTTGAGTTTTTCCCCCACAACTTTTAAAACCATAGTTTTATCTTAATCCTATGTTGCGGAAAACATGTTGACTGTATAAAAACAAATTGCAGTAAAGATGGTATTACACCACTGTATCCTGAGTCGGAGCGTTTGCACTTCTGATTGAATGACTTCTGGATACTCATGTTAATGCACAGTTCAGAGCAGCTGACACAGACTCCTGTATCAATGCTGACTAGATGGAGTAGAAGCATGCTGCATTATCAGGGAGGGATGCCAAATACAGCAGACGCATACGAGCAGACTGATCTGACAGAGGTACTCGTGAAAACATTTATCATGAGGAAACAAATTCCACTGCAGTAAGGCTTTATATTGAGGAGTTATTATCATTTGGTGTTCACGCAATTACTTTATTAGTCAATTTATATACTATTAGTTCATCATTTTGAATCAATGAACCCTCTGAGTTATTTATCCGGTTCAAATACCAAGCATTTGTTGTTTGCAGAATCTCACCTCTCTTCACTTTAATTGTAAATTTAATGCTCTTAGGTTTTTGGGCTGTTGGCCGAACAAAACAAACAATCTGAAGCTATCGCCTTGGTTGTCAATATAATGACTAAATGAGTAATCGCCCAATTATTCACACAATCAACAATTACATTAGAATCCGTGGTAACAAATCAATCAATGACAAACTTATTAGTTGCACCTCTATTACCATTATCTAGCTACAGACACAACTTAACACGTTTCCTCCAACAGGGTAACAATGAAGACGTTCTCTGACCAGCTTCCCTGAATGTACCTGACCTACACTGACAGACCTGGGCAGGAGCACGCAGCAGACAGCCAGTTTGCTCCCACTGAAGCTATTGTTTACTATTAGTGATGTCACCAGCACCACTTCCCGGGAGGGCCTCAGAGGGGGGGTGGGAAAAACGTGGAGATCAGCAGAACTCTGTGACAAAGAGCTAAACACTAAACTGACCCATCGGCTGGCGGCCCATCCCCAATAGATATTGGGTGCACACTCCCACCACAGTCAACAGAGCGAAAACAAAATGCACAACATTGCACACAGTGGGAGAAAAAGCAAGGACAGGGAAATACAGACATGCTTAAGGACAGAGGGAGAGACAGGCAACAGCATTAAATCAATAAAGTCATTATCATCAACCACTGTAGAAAACATCCTCGAAAACAACTGCGGTCCAAACAATAATTCAGATCACAGGCGAACTCTAATTTTTGTGCAACAGAAGTACAGAGCTAGTTGCCTGCGCAGCAACGGTCTAGACTACTGTCACACTGTTTTGCATTTTCTTTTGCATTAACAGAAGGGCCTGCATCATGTTCTACATGTAGAGTAACAATTGTGACCTTTAGGACACAGAGCTTGTGAAACCAAAACAAACAAATGAACATGTAACAAATTTGTGTAGCCATGTCTCAGGCCTTCACGTGCAGCAGCAAATCTGAGATGAACCAATGATCAAATAATGCTGTATGATATTCTAAAGACATACTGCACTGTCTAATGGCAATAGCAACCTAACATTAGGTGCTAAGGAGTATCTCTGATTTATTTACCAACTGCAGATTAAATTGTAATCCAGGTTTGCTTAACTGATTGAAAAGTACTGATTTGTTCTTTTTATTTGTATAAGCAACCAGAGATGTGATAATATATACACCAGTTCAGTCAACAATGCTATGCCCAGTGTTATGGTACAACTTTTAACAAAAAAAACCACTCATAATAAACAGCACTACAATAGCAGTTGGTGCCAGCCACTGTTGCCATCATTTCAGTGGGGGAGGGGGTCATGTAAAAATTAAGTTGGGCTCTGGCCTCTAGCTTGTGCCCTAGCCACAAGGATATTTCAGATCCCTAACTGTGCAATAAACCGTCCTCCTGCTTTTGAATCTACCGACCAAATTCCACTGTATTGCCATGCTTTCCCTGAAGGTAGTGGGATTCAGGTGGGGAAGTTCTTGACGCAACGCATCAGCTTCACTTCTCTGTTTCACCAGAGTCCATCAAATTCAGAAGAGAAACTTCTTTATTCTCAAGGTACAAAAACACAGGGGGATTTCATTCTTGTAATGACGCAACAACAGAATATTAACAGCTTACATCACTATGTATTAGGCACAGACCAGTCCTTCTCTACCATGTACTGTCTTCTTCCGGCAACCACACATTATTCAGCCAGCCGCTTTTAACAACACTGTCCAATCTTTTGGAAGGTAGCAGATGCCTTAGATAAGGTGATTACTTGACGGAGCTAAGGTTTAGTCTAAATCCAGAGATTGTTTTAATAGGTGTTGGAGAAGGTCAGCTTTAAAGGATTAGAGGTAATAATGATGTTGAAAGGTGTACAGGGATCACAGAGGAACAGTGGCACTCCTTGGATAAATAGTCCACTACCCATGCTGAGATCAGCAGAGTTTCCATCAAGGGCTGATGTCCATCGTTAACAATTAGATTGTATAACACAGTTATTATTGAGCCCATCACCACAACAAAGTACTTTACTTAGACCATTTAAAAACACATCTTCATCAGGCTGTGGTTTGTGTTTCAGATGATCAAGGAACTTTGTTATGTTTTATTACTTTGAAGACACGACCTGTGCATGTGGAGTGCAGACATTGCATTCACAGAATATATAAAAGGTGGCTGTATTACTGTACCTGTCAGTGAAGCTGGACTGTGTGTCACTCATTGGGCTTCCGGTTCTAGATTTGCAGCAAATTATATCCGATTAACATTTTCCAGAGTGTGATGAGGCGATTTCCTGGCGCGTCCTTCTCTGGCATTCGTCTCAAGTATGCAAGGATTTTGAGAATGGTGTTGAGAATAAATTAACTGTAGGGTACCAGACGCTGGAGGAAACAAAAATACTACCTATAGGCTACTTCTTTAGCAATACTCCTTGTCAAAATGCAATAGCAGAAGGGAACCTAATGTGCAGACCTTAAAAATTAATCGGGGCCTCTGTCGTCTTAGCTGTACAGTCAGATGATATCCTACCCGGGCAGTAAAGAATATTTTGGCAACAACAACAATAAATACACTGCGCCAGCTGGCAAAAGTTGTCGTGCATGTATGACCTCCTTGTACGAATCCTTTGCATTCACATCCCAGTTTTCCGCCGATATGAAATGTATGAACAATCTGTATTCCAATGTAACAGACACCTTGGCCCAGCGATGTAGTCCGTCCGCCACCACCCCTGCTCGGCTGAATGGCCTCGGTTCCTAAATGATCTTTGAAGATGCTGGAAATTCCTACAGTCCCATTTGGTAATCCCTGCTCCCAGAAATGCCTGTCTGTGACTGTAGGGAAAACTGTCCCGTGACCACGAGAATCGCTCACTGCCGAGTTTCAACAACCTGTGTTACACACTAGCCAAACAACCGCAGCTAATGTTATACCGGTGTTAAGACGTTGGATTAAAAAACAAAAGTGGTTAGATGGTCGATTAAAATAACATCGCACGCTGTTTTCTGAAAATCCTTTCTCACTGCGAGCTGGCTGTTGAATTTCGCCAGCTACCACCAGCTAACAAAACAGATGAGCTCTTTCAGCAAAAAAAAAACTTTGCTTCGTATGCTCTGTTTCGAGTGCAAACTAAGCAAACTCCCCTTCACAACAATGAGCCGGTCAAAGACTGAAAAATATATCTATACAGCACAGCATGAATGTTGACTATCTGGCGATATGTCTCCGTGTTATGTCCTTCACAAAGTATCCTCGGGGAAAGAAAACCCAGTGAAGTCGGTTAGCACAGCGCGACGTTCCTTGACTCCATGTTTCCAGAATTCAGTCGTTTCTCGGCAGAATTCCCGTGGATGAGAGCAGCCTAGCTGTGTGGTCAGCTAACGGGACAGAAAGTGACACAACTCCTCTGTAAACAACGACAAAAAAAACAACTGGGCGATTAAAACTTTTAGCGAACATCAAACGCCGTTTTTTTCCAACGCAAGACGTTATTTGTACAATAATATAACTTGCGGAAAGGTACCAAAAATCCCACTTTCTGCCGCTAGCAACGCCCTAGCCAGCTAGCTGAGTCCACTAGCTTCCACTAACCACTTCCGCCGCCGGGAGATGGGAAAACTCATTTTGTTTCATGTGAGGAAGAACAGCTGCAAAATAACACGAACATACTTTCAGTGACACTACTAATGTGCTACTACGACAAGTAACATTAGTACAATATTTCTTTTTATAGTGTTTAATTAGCTCATATATGTATAACCTACTAGGTTCTGAATAAAGAGTCTGACACCTAATGTGGTTGAATGTCATATCAGACCTGCAACGATTAACTGAATCGATTAATCAGTCAATTCATCGTCAAATAAAGATTCTAGACCAGTTTTGATAATCGAATAGTGGTTTAAGCATCTTAAGCAAAGAAAAAACACTAACCTATCACTCCTTCCAGCTTCTCAAATGTGACTATTTGATTGTTTTGTTTGTCTTCTATGACAGTTAACTGAATATCTTTGGGTTTTGGACTGTTGTCAGACAAAATAAAGCTTCTGAAGACATCAACTTGGACCCTGGGAATTGGACATTAGCTGTTTGTTGACATTTATAGACCAAATTATTAGTCTAGAAAGTAATAGGCAGATTAATTGAGGATGATAGTTAGTTGCAACCCAATAGCATAGAGTTGTTATATGTTAGACTATTTGTGAATTAGTTGATCAACTAATTGATTATTTGACTATTAAACATAGACAGCATCTCTGACTTTATTATTGTTATATTTTAATCTCTTATTGTCAATTTTATATTTCTGATTCTTGACCTGTACTTGCTTTATCTTTCTTATATTTTCTACATATGTTTATTGTTATGCACCAAAATATCAAAGCAAATTCCCTGTATGTGTAAACATTTTTGGCCATAAAGCTGATTCTGATTCTGAAAGAGAGAGACGGGGAGACAGGAAGAACGAGATTTGATGTTAATTAGTCGACTGACAGAATATTAAACTGCAACGTTAAGTCAGTCAAGCACAAAGACCAGCCGTTCTTTGGTTCCAGTTTCTCAAACATGAGGATTTTCTGATTTCTCTTTGTTTTATCATGGCATAAACTTAAACTATTTTCTGGTGTTTTATAGACCAAACAATTGTAATCAATAGATTCCTTATGAAAATAATCATTAGCCACAGCCCCAGTTGTATAGATAGATTTTGGTGGATTGTTTGCTTCTCCTTTCTCTTAAGGATTTTCCAGTAAGGAGGCACTTTCCTTCAGGTGGTTGATTAACTTGATGATTAAGTGTGTTGTTGTGATTATTTTGTGGTTTTCATGACACTCTGTCTGTCTGTGGTTGGTCTGAGACTGGGAGAACTGTCCTTATGTTCATTATTTACAGCTTACAGTCCAGACTTTCTTCCATTATCCACAAGAAGACACTCCTTTTCTGATGAAACATCCTTAACTCATCCATAGAGAAATCTTGAAAGACATAAAGAAGAGAGAGAAAACACACTCAAGTGGATGTATGTGTGAGGCAGTGTATGAGACAGATAATGAAAATACAAAAGACACTTCAGAGTATTTGGAGGATTCCATTCACGTCTTTGATTTATTTTGAAATTCAAACTGCAGAGTCAGTGTAGACGAGACCAAGATTGATATCCAGTGCAATAAATGCAATAAATTTTTATTGATTTGAGATCACAACATCACCCGTGTAATAATGTAGATATGGTTAGTGGTGGGTGATTAAAATGCCATTTTTGCAGCCCCTGTCCAAATCCTATTAACCTTTAAATAGCCAGTGTTTGTGTACATGAGTGAAATATGTGCATTAATTCTTCTCTACCTTATCTCGGTCTATTTTGTTTGTGTTTGTTTGTTTGTATCATTTCACATATTTAGCATCCTAAATGTATGAATTAGTACTCTGTATATGATTATATGCAATAAACTAGGTATTACAGACACCATAGTAAACTTTGCTCCAGTGCATGAAAACATATTTAAAACTGTTGAATTAAAAACGGACAACAACAAAAAGTAAAGCTCGCTGCTTTTGCTGAACTAAAAGTATAATGTGTCACACCAAATGACTGCCCTCATGTTTCCTCACTGATCGTTCATATATAGTTGATATGACACCATCATGTGGACAGCTTAGGTAACTTCAGTCTCAGTCCAATGATAATGTCTTGAGTATTTTTAAATGATGCAAATGCAGCTTGTCCTTCAGTTTTATTGACATTTTCTTGTTTAATTGTATTCAAAAGCATACAAACAATCGATCATATCTTTATTTCACTTCACACAGGGATTACAAATCATCCAACACAAACTTAAAATGGTATCGTACACTTACGTTGGAAGGTTTACAATACAGCAAAACAAAACAAACAAAAAAAAATTAGGAAAGTACATTCAGATAACTAAGGCACACACCAGTTAGATTTTTACTTTCTTGGATGTAATGGTTATGCTCACATGATTCCTAACTGTGGCAGTCAGGTAAACAGACCTTGTATGAGAGCAGCACATAATTTTTTAATTAAATAGACATAGAAAAACAAAGGGATGAAAGGTGTTTTAGCGCATTACTGCAGAAATCCATTTACACAAAAATAACAAACAAGATATGTTAATAATCATTTCATAACTATAAGGACACCGATTTAAAGTCTGAGCACAAATTCAGTCCAAATCCAATACAAATGTATTCATAAAGCACTTTTAAAAACAACAATAGTTGACCAAAGTGCTATGCAATCAAACATAGCAAAAACCACAGATGAAAGCTGGTCATTTGCTAACTTTCTTGGCATGGAACAAATCCAGTCATGGAGTGGGTGGAATCATTATATTCTCCACACGTAACAAGTCTCCTGCCTTCATCCCATGATGCACTTGCGCAATCTGTCAGGACAATATGGCTGAAATAAATATCACAATATAAACATTAATATTTTTTTTCTGAAAATTAATATCACATTATCAAATGTAGGCAAAACCCCCACATAAAACTCCACACATGTAAATAAAACAATGAAATAGCTATTGTTGTCAGTGCTTTGAATGATTAAATTGGACAACAGAACTGTGTAAAACGATAACCCGATATGATTATATTGAAATGATGACTACTGTCCTAAAGACTAAATGTAGAGATCTAACATTTTAAGGGCTAGAAACAAAACATATTCCCGCACAGGTTGTCATCCTGTCCAAAGTCAGAGGCTACCTGGTTGGTCCTGACAGTAGCATGTGGTTGTCACAAACAGCGTTTAGAGCATGTACAGCTCAAAGATGCTGGATTGAAAACATTTAACTCATGTAAGTCAGACAAAGGATCAGCACACTGTACAGATAGCTTGCACTAAATTTAATTGTCCAGTCTTGCTTGAGAAGATCTATGTGAGACTGAAATATTACACAATTAAATTAATTGGGAGCTATGAGTATGGATATTTTGTCTATGTTCACACAGATGGTACAGTGAAATCAGACATTTCCAATTACTTAATAATGTTATATAAAGTACACATTCTGACACAACTTCACCAAACATATAAAGGTATTTTAATTTACATAAATATCAAAATACCATCACCAGTTTGGAACCACCTAATTGAAAGGTTCCTCTCCATGTATTCCCTTACATGGACAAGGTAAAATAAATTAAATGTTTTTTGGGGCAGAGTCTGGAACAGGAATCCAGACTGGTGGTTTATAAGAATTACTATAAACGAGATTAAATAACCAAACACACACATTTCTCTGGAATTCACCCCAGTTTTCTGGTATGACTTCATCTCCCTGAGTATACCTTTCACATCTGCACACAGTTTAACATACGCCAAGAAAACCCCAGGATTACAAGGAAACCCATCCTAACCAATGATGATATGACTAAAAGTGTTTCACAAGGACCACAGGCATTCCATGTAAACTGTTTTGTTCCTTTCCTTCGGAGCAACACCACCGTATATGAATAGGCCACATTTCACTGCAACTGTAAGCAACATCTGTTCATGTGTTCATAGGAAGTGCTTTGGTTTTCAGTGACATATGTTAAATGCACATTTTACACAGTAATATGACATGAGTTTGTCTGTGATGACTGTATAAAGAATGAGTTTTTCCCCCAAAATGCACAGGTCTTGGACCTGACACAGAGATTTCACAGGGTACTTGATGAAGTATCTATTTTTGAAAATCGCAGTTTAACATACAAAACGAGGATTTTCATTATACTGTCCCTAGTGAGTCCAAAGTGAAAAACACAGACATAATGTGAATCAATTTTCTTTAGAGAAGCACAAACCAATCAGTCTGTCTTCCCTTCATGACAATTAGCCGCCACTGTTTCTTGTTGGTCTCTCTGCTGTTTGTGCCAGCTCTTGCTCTTCCGAATGGCAAATCGAACAATGTCCACCATAAACACCCAGGACAGAGCGTACATGGCCACTCCCCCGCACTTGATAAAGAATCTGGGTCTTGGGGAGATCAGCTCACAGTACAGCATTGTGCCTCCCACAAAGATTCGCATCACCACAAACAGCAGCACAAACAGGACGTCCACAACGTTCCCCAGCAGCGTCCCGTAATGTCCCGTCTGTTTGAGGAACCAGCGTGCCTGCAGGAGGGGGTTGGTGATTTCACTGCCAAAGAGTACCGCACAGCCCTCGATGCCAGACTCCCCCAACCACAGGGTCAACAGGATTCCCAAGATGCTCATGGTGTGGTGGGCCAGCATAACGGGTCCCTCTGTGCGGAAGTACACACACCAGGCCATATCAAAAATGAAGTAGCCCAGGCTCACCACCATGGCACTTATCTGCAGAGGAGTGTTCTTAGTACCTGGCATCCACAATCAGAAACAGAGTTCTTAGTTAACATATTTTTTTATAAATACAAGCAAAAACAATCATGCAATGACAGAGCTACAACTAACTTCTGATTAAGAACTTTGTGTAAAGCAGATATAGTAGGAAAGATAGGCATGGTAAAATGATTTAGTCACTGCTGAAGGGTTTATTCCCACTTGAAAACTGTTCCAATTGGTAGTTGGTCAACACTTTCAACAACATGCTTAGCAATGTAGAGCTGAAACAAAGTCAGTCAAGACTAAATTAATCTGCGACTAGGGCTGCAACTAACGATGATTAATCTGTTGAATATTTTCTCGATTAATTGATTTGTTGTTTGGTCTATAAATGTGAGAAAATGGTGAAAAATGTTGATCAGAGTTTCCCAAAGCCCAAGAGGATGTCCTAAAAAGTCTTGTTTTGTCCAAACCCAAAGAGTTTCAGTTTCCTGTCATAGAGGAGTAAAGAAACCAGAACATATTCACATGTAAGAAGCTGGAATCAAATAATTTTTCTTAAATTACTCAAACTGATTAATCAGTTATCCAAATAGTTGGCGATTCATTTAATAGTCGACAACTAATCGATTATTTGATTAATCATAGCAGCTCTATCTGTGACTATGTTAATAATGAATTTGTCATTTTTCAAGCTATTTAAATCACCTTGTTCCAGCATCGCAAATGTGATGATTTACAGCTTTTTCATTATCTTAAGTAAGTCAACTGAATGTCTTTGGGTTTTGACTATGTTACCTTGAGCAACTAATCAATTAATCAACAAAATAATTGAGTTAGCTGAGGCCCTAAAGCAATGTTTCCAGCTTTACATGACATTGTTACTGAAGTAGCATTTACACCATAATGATGCGAAAGACTATAGCTTAACATCATCTGTTGAACTTATCTCATGTATAACCCTTATTGTTTTGTGATTATGTCTTAAGTTACACATTGATAATTTGAAGCCACAGAGGGCGAGCGTCCTACCTGGATGAGTGAAAGGCCAGGGTCCATCCACATAGCCTATGTATGCTGTGATGCAGACTGCCAGGATGCCGTGCACCAGGGTGACGAGGCGACAGTTCCACTCGTAGCTCCTGGACCGGTTAACGTTACACAAGATGAAGTAGAGAGAGACCCAACAGGACAGGCACAGGAGCGCAAAAACCACAAGCAATGCCATCTTCTCTTCTACAGACAAAACAAGCAAGAAAAACTTCTAAAACCAACTTACATTTCTTTCAAAAACATGCCTTTCAGCAGTCACTTTGAATCACATTACACAGAAAGAGACAAATGCATCTTCAGGCACATCTTGCTCTGTAATATCCCTTACAGTAGAAAGAGACAACATTCCCGTCCAAAGACTTGGACTGTGCAATCCTTTGTAAGTAACCAACAATTAGCCTTTGCTTGAACTATAATAGCACTATAGTTGGCCGTCCGAGGGTCTGGTGGGGTGAGGGGGACGTCTCTTCTTCTGCTGTGACGTTTGTACTAGGAGGTGAGACCATGCAGATGGACAGGCCCACACTCACTGGACTGGAACAAGATGTACACGTGAGCCTCTAAGACTTTAAGCAAGTTTCAAAACTAGATGAGAAGTTACTGGGTGATGGGCCTCAGACAGTTCTCATGGGAGAGAAAGGTTATTAAATGGTATGTGATCTTTGACAACACTCTAAATCAATCCAAAATGTTTTGTTGTTGTCTTGGTTGTGATACACAGCAAAATTAACAGGATGCTGGATGGCATGGGGAGGTGAAGGTGTGATATTATATGTAGGGGGACAACACAATTTGGGTTCCATTCCAAAACTGTTTTCTTTACATAACAGTATGCAAAATTGGGTATCAGCTATAAATAATTATCTCGATTAAGCATTCAAAAATGGCAGAAAAAATACTGTGAATGTTAAGATTTTTTTGCATAAAATTTTTTTGCATCAAAATAGGTGATCTGTTGGTCGCCCACACGTAATACACTTGTCCAAACACAGAGAACACACACAAAAAGAAGATAACTAAAACAAAAAGACAGATCCAAAACACAAGGGGATATGTACATGCAAAGACAGAAAATACAGAATGAAATACAAACTATGCAAAAATACAGCATATACCATAAACAATGACAAGGACAACTCAGTTTGGGTACTGTTACATTTCCAAAATCATTTTCATTAAATATCAGCATGCAAAACAGATACAACAGAAATATTGTGGATTGTATGTAATTCATAATAAATCTGTCTTCTTCTATGTGGGGCTGCTATCCTGGCCCAGGACAACTCCTGTTAAAGAGATCCGTTCCTGCTTAATAAAGTGATAAATACAGAAGACACTTTAACCCTTTTTAAATGAGAAAAGTGGATGTAGTTGATAGGTTTTTAACATGCTCAGAAACATAGGTGTACATTTGCCACGCTTTAATTACGTTCCTATGGAAACTTGTAAGAGGAAATACCGGAAAAGCATTTGGCAACTACCTGGATTCATGTCTCTATTCCCTAGCTAAACTAAGCTAAGCTAGTTCCTAAACTAAAAGGACAAGAGGACCACAGTTTATCCCTCATTTAGAGGATGCCCTCACACCCAGTTAGCTGGATTAGATAGCAAACTAACCGGGTAGCAAGCTAACGTTAAAGGGCTAACACAAAGCGTTTTCGTATGGGATTGTAACCCCTTCACAAACGTAGTTAAATAGCATTACCTTGACAGTGCACATGTGGCTGCCTCGTCGTTCACATCCTGTGTGTTTTGAGTCCTGTGAAAATAGGTTTCTGAAGGAGACTTCGCAAAAGGTTTGTTTGCAGACACAGTGGCTGCTATTTGTTGTCCTTTAACGTTACGTGAGCTCCCTCAGCATCCCTTAATTTCTCTCCCACGTTATTAGTCGCTTTACATGCAAATGTGGGAATTAGTAGAACAGTGCCCTGGCTGTATTATCCAATACTAAACCGTGGTTGAGAGACTAAGATAGGTTTATTAAATATTTAACAGAAAAAGCACGTTTCCATCATGTCTTTCCAAAGCGATGGGAGATGGCCTCATCTTTTTTGAACAGTAGCGGCACCTTGTGGTCAATAGCAGAAATGACACAAGTTCTCTGCCAGCAGGGGGACAAAATGGAAGAACTACATAGTAATAATAGTACTAATATTCCAACGTGTAATAGGTGGCTGCACAGCAGTTTGATGGTCGCAGAGAAAAACTCACCTGCATGACCAGGGTTCAAACCTTCTTATATACAGTCTATGGTTCAAACTCTGGTTCGAAGACCTGCCTAAGTGTCAACAAGCAAGGCTTTCTGTCCCACCCCTTACTCTAGATGTACCTTCAAGTCCAGCCCTGGAACATTTGTTCAGTAGTACCCCATCTCTTACTCTGTCTACTAAAATGTCCACAAAATACTTATATAATAACATACAAATTGCATATGCAGTGCAAAGAAAGACTTTATTGAAACAATTCATTTAAAACACAACTCTTTTTCTAATTGCTTCATTTTCTCCTTATGGCAACGTTTTTACAACATCATGAAAACTCTTTCATAGAAAAAATATGTTTACAAACTCTACAATTACATAGCAAAAGGTATCAGTGGAAATGTTAAGGCACTTGATCACCAGAAAAGGCCACAAATAGAAATGTTTCACTCATTTGGTTCTTTCGTTAGCCGGACATACTAACAAACAATATGAGACTGAAATGAAGATGGATATAAGACAAACCAAAGTTATACATGCAACCTATTGCTCTAAAGAGCACACAGACTAAATTAAATTTGGTCCCACAAGTTCAAGATATTCTCCTTGAATTACGCATGGAAATGGTACTGTAAGGGTTATAAGATGCATAAATTACAGCCATTTAACTGCTGACAGGAGCACAAAAAAACAGAAACCAAAAAGCAGAATTCTGGCATTGGGATACAACAGCAAATATGAGAATCAGAAACACCGTTTTACCAGAAGATGGCAGTATAGAGAATTAAAAAGGCTATACTGCAGTATTAAATGAACCCTAACATGGAAAAACACCATACTGAGGAGCCTGTTTCTATAAACTGAAACGTTACACCCTTCTTTTGACAGTATTTCCTTTGACTTTGGTTTACTTGACACTTTTAAACAGACTGTGAATGTGATTGGTGAGCATGAGGTCTTCCCCATGGGACATGATAGAGCAAAGCAGAGCTAAAACTGTCCTATAAGATAACAAAGATGTTTACCCAAAGATGTTTACCCATTCTCTCTGTACAACCATGAAAACTTGGCAACAAAGTAGCATGACATATGGGATGAGCCTGGAAGGAACATCCAAAATCCAAGAGGTTAAATGTGTTTGAATACTTCTTGTTACTGAGGACCTGTGGTTTAGACATGTGACTTTAAGAGCTTGTTGAATGCAAACAGGAAAGAAAACTGATGGTTATTTTTAACCAAAAAAAAAAAAAAAGATACAAAAATAGTCCTCCATGATTTCACTTTGCAACCAAAATAAATAAAGCCAGCATTTGAGCATTTTATTTTTCAGCCAGCTTACATTGTTATAAACAGGTGTTTAGCTGGCTACAAACTTTTCACAGGAATTAAAACAAAATTAAATCAAATTTTCCTTCACCAGAATGGAAGATAAGGTTTGTATGACTCCTCTGATCAGAGTGGGACTCTGATGGTATTTAAATGACCAGAAATGCACTGTCCAGCTTTGTGCACGCTGTAGCTTGTTTGAGAGGTTATAGTTGTTGGCATCTGTCATCTGCAGCAATTTTTTCTCCAAAAAAAAGGCACAAAAGTGGCAGCAAGTCACATTACAGCTGACAATGAGTTCTCATTTTCCCAGAAAAGGCTGAAAGTTAGTGGTTCCTCTTAGAACAACGTGCTGCATCTCACCTTCCTTAAAGGATTTGGTCTCATTTGGAACCTGAATTAATTTCTTGAACATCTGGATCTCACCCCTCCCCACCTGAGACAGCTTCACATATCATATAAACTGAGGTCCAGTGTTACTGCGTTTACTCTGAATAGCAGGGGTGGAGAAGAACTGGCTTTCTCTTTTCTCAACCATCCAGAACAAAATGCTAGGTCTCCTCGTCCCATAGACAGAGCAGCTTTTGGGGAACATAGTATGTGAAATGGTAGCCTTTGCTGCAGCTCTTTATGCCACATTTATAGTTAGAGCCTTTTCCCGTGGAGTCCCGGCTGCGGCAGTACTTCAGCAGACACGGGTACCACTCCAGACGTAGGCTGTATGTGCAGAGGCAGGGCTGCCACAAGTCTTTAGTAGAGTGACAGGCCTGAAAGCTGGGCGCTTCTGTTGTTTGGGGAAGGACCTCAAATATGGAGCCATCCACTCCTACAACACACACAGGATAGGGGCATTATTATGAGAGCTTGTGCTACTAAAAACAAAAGCAAGCTATCATAGCATTGTGTGAATCATTATCTTTCTGATTTCACTCAATTAAATACTATATTGAACTGGAGGGGGTGAACAAAGTGGCTAAAAGGGAGGGGAGATGGTGCAGTAAAAGGGGATCTTTGTTATGCAAAGGAGATGCTACTGTGATTCCCTCCACTGATAATGGTGCAGAGTGCTTGGGGAACCATGACCATCAACATTGTTTCCTCTATAACAGTGCTGTCAGTGGACAATAGTGCTGTCATATGGATTCTCTTCAGCCTGGATAATTTGGACTTTTTAAGTTACTACTACATTACTACAAAAATACTGGATCCAACTGCAGAAAAGACCTTTAAAAACAAATAGTTCATGGAAATAACGATATGTTCTAGGTAAGAATGAGACATAAAGAGGAGGGTAAACAGAGACAGCATGAACAGTAATTTCACTAAAAGGAAGTGGAAATAGGTGTTTAGGAGATATAAACTTGCAAGATATAGAGTGCTGGGGAGATATAGTGTATGGAGACAATCAGGAGGTATGGGAGAGAAGAGATAGGAGACATTTTGCTCAAACCACCAACATAACTCGATGATTAACAAAGATAAGATGACCACTGACCTTTGTCCAGCCAGTGTTTGACATCGGCCTCCCTGGTGTAGACAGCCTCCCGGGCCTCACTGCACATGTTGTGGATGTGAGAGCTGAGTTGCCAGGCCCGACTTAGATTGACCGCTGCGCTCATCGTCAACTGCTCCAGTCCTCTCCGCTCCTCTGCTAAGCGAATGGCCTGAGGATTTTTCTGAGAAGACAACACAGACGATCAGTGTTCACACCCTCAGATGCTCTGAGGAATATTTTTTCCTGGAGCTGGCAATGCTATGTAATACAGTGAAATGCAACATATAAATGCTGGCTGATGCCTTGATCTGCCATGTCATACCTGTCTGAGACGGGCCATGGACTCGCTGGGGATGATCTCATTGCGGCCGAGGCGGGAGATGAAACACAGGGCCTGGTACTGGTTCTGCCCTCTTTCCAGCTCGCCCAGGATCAGCGCTCGGAATATCTTCACTTCCTGCAAGGCACAAGGGATGAGAGATGACTAGCTGAACGGATAAACAGACAATTCCCAGAAGACATTGAAGTGGCACATGAGGCGAGGTTATAATAACTTACTGTGTAGGCTCATACAGATTAGAACAAATATTCTTTCCATTTCGGTACTTAATGTACCACTTTTCCAGACACTCAAAGTAATTCAATATGTGGAGTTCAAACAACTGTCTGCTAAAAGTAAAGAGGGGTTTATTTTCACCACACCCATAGAGCTTCATCTGACACTTTGTTGATACTTTTTATTGTCTGTAGGCCTGTGCAGTGTTGCTCCAGTCATGCTCTGGTTATTTGAACTGTCAAATTAAAGCTTCGGGCCTGTTTCTTGACAAACATATCAGAGTTCCTCACATGCCGTAAAAGTCAGAAACATTTTAACATGCTGTTTTATGTGGAACGGTAAGAAGTAGGAAAATGGTGATAGTGGAGAATTTGCAAAAAAAACAAACAACATGTTCCTGTTGGCAAGTGTGTGAGAGATCTGGCACCAAACCCAAGGCCATAAAGAGTTCTGTGAGAGGACATGCAAAGCATGATGGGAAGCTCCAGCAGTGTGGAAAGCAGAGCAGCAGACCTCTCTTCCTATTCATCAAACCCCCCACACCCCTTGGCTTCAGCATCAAGACAGACACACAGTCTCAAACACCCCTCCTCCGCTTTTCACACAACCATCTGAAGCAAACAGGCTGCAATAGAGTAGCAGTTTCAAGGCTTTCATTCCCTGAGCAGGATGAACTCTGGGACAGATAAACAGTTCAGCGATAACCCCACTGAGTTCTCCTTAAGCTCTTTGGTCCAACTTCCTGTGTGCAAAGGAAAGCAATCCAACCTGCCTCACAGGAGGTTACGCTCTGTAATTCTTTTATAAGCCTACTTTGCATTGTCACTGGTTCCTTATTTTAAGAACCACTTTTGTCTGTGAGAAGAGTTTCTGGCAGGCGTACAATACAAGCATGGGCATTACGCAAGACAATCATGCGATACTATTTGACCTTTGGAAAGCAAATTACTGAGCAAACATTGATTCACAGGCTTTATGTGATATTGACCTCAGGTTTATCCCTCACACATCTGGGTGATCTGCTCAGTGTTGTATGAAAACAATGACTCATGGGACTGTAAAAATTTTAATTAAATACCTCATATGTTCCAATATTGTGATAATAACTCTGGTACTCTGGTGGTGGTGGTGGGGGGGGGGTGTTTTGTATTGTTTTTAACAAAAAGAAAAGTCTGAATTATTAAAGAGAATGTCAAAAGGAGGCATGAATATATCAAATTGAACAGAGTGAGATGTAAGGAAGAGGCAGTACAATGCCGACAGAGAGACGGGCAAGTGCCATTTCCCCTCAAGTGCAGGGAGACACAGAGGCCATGACTTCAGGACCTCCCATATTGCAGACACATGGCGCTACGAGGCAGAGAGAGAGAGAGCGAGCGAGCGAGAGACAGCCATGCAGATTTGCCCCAGGGCTCTCTGGGTAATTACAGTGGGTAGCTCCACCAACTCTGCTTCTCTGGAACTTACTCAATGGTAAAGTTTAGAGGCGGAGATCTCCTGCTCCTCTTGTGTCATTATGTGCCCAGATTAATCATTCTCTACTTCTGTTACTCCTACTTCTCTGCATTTGGATTTAGGCCAACAAGGGCAAGGGGAGAGCAAGAGTGCTTACTGTGGCAACAACATCTTCTAATGTAACTTTGTTTCAAGTTGACATTCTCTGTACACAATAGAAAATCTTAAGGAAAATAGTTTGATGTTATGGGAAATGCATTTATTTGCTTTCTGGCGGA